CCCTACATTTTATCTGCTCAGATATATACATCTCAATAGGGAAGAAAAGACTATCGAAACATCTATTTCAAGCCGAACTTAATTTGGCCAGTGCACTTCATCCATTATAGTTACAGGAGGAGAATCCAAAGTCAGCATGTGTGACAGGGAAAATCTGTTTGTATTGTAACATTATGAAGTTAATCACAATTACTTTGATATGTACCAGACATATTCATAGAAGTCAGTCAAATACACTATTTTAAAGTACCAGTAGACTTTATGAAAGACTTTCTTCCCATAGTCTTTTTAGTTGTAAAAAGTGCAACAAAAAAAGTGTGATGACCGTATTTGGCGGCACATTTAGCCTCCATATGTCCCGAGGGACTCAGTGAGCTTCTTAGCTCTGATGCAGATATGCAACCCACACAAAATTTACCACCTGGGAGATGGACTGCAGTGACCTTGTATATTCGGTTGAAAACACATGATCCTTATGCACTGCAGAGTCTGCGTCCAATTCAGCTGCCTTTAATTTCCCCTGCAAGTTATGTCATTGTCTTTCCCTCCGACTTTCTCTCTCCTGTACACACACTCTAACCACATGCACACAAATGCTCACACCACTGAATCACTCAGGATTCATTAGTTCTAGAGGACACAAGTTCCTGTAACTTCAAGAAGTAAGTCACTTTTCTCATGAATATTCATTCCCGGTGTCACAGGGTGGGGAGTCGAGGGGATGTCATGCCTCAGCTGCTGGTTCATTTCACAGCGCTTATTTGGGGACTAAGCTATATACAGAGTATATAACGAAAGACCAGAAACTCGCTGAGAGGTTGATTGTTTATAGTTAGGCTGAAGTCTGAGACTTCTTAAAATGGTTCTGTTTTGCAGTTTTCTACTTTAATATGAGAAAAATCAATGTTGGTCTATGCTTTTGGGTGACAGTTAAATTGGCAAACAGCTCAAGCCTCACATTTGAGTTCTATATTTTGGGTTAACACTTTATTTTGATGGTCCACTAAGACATTCTTCTAACTAAAGTAACTTTGCAACATGTCAACTAACTCTCATTAGTAGACTGTCTGCTTAATACCTGCTAACACTTTATTGTGATGGTCCTCAAATAGATATTCTACTGACTATAAGTAACTTTGCAACTTCATGTCAACTTATTACCTGAACCCTAACACCTAATGAGTTAGTTGATGTGTAGTTGCAAAGTTATTTATAGTAGGTAGAATGTCTAAAGTGGGCCATCAAAATAAAGTGTAACAATTTTTTGTTTTCTCATAAATACAGGAACTAAATAATTCTTGGATGTTCAGTTCTGTTACAGAAACATCTTACTAAAATTCGATTTATGTTATTCAGTGCAACAATGCTACTGGACTAATGCGACCAGTGTAGTCAGTTCTCGGACAAATGACTCTTATGCACTAAATGAACCAAGACTTTTTACTTAAATCAGAGTACTGACCGGTTGGATATTATACGTTTAATCTGTGATATTTTATACATCGTATACATGTATACATGTTTTTTTAAATAATTTTTTATATTATATATCTGTTTACAGGTTTAAATTCAGTTTTGAATCCCAGATTTTCAATGAGGCCTCAGATGTCAGGCCCCACTCTACGTGTGTATATGTATTATTAATAATCAAAAGCAGGTCCTGATGTCTCAAACACTTCAGAAGTTGCCATCACACACTCTGTGAAAAGCATGGGAGGGAAAGACCTTGGCACTTTACAGTACATCAACAGTACTCTTTCTGTCTATCCTGCAAATCAGACCACTTCCTATTTACTGAGTAATTAATGTTCCAGAAACGAACATTAGATAGAATGATATCCTTGGCGGTAAATATTAGTGTCCTAGTTTTCAAGGCGTCTTAAAACTATCTTTACTCAGAAGTCGTGTCTGCTCCTTTCAATGCAGAGAACTGTCTACAGAGCACGCTTTAAATTTTCAAACCAAAAGCGTATGAATATGAAAGTGATATGGGGAGAGAACGAGAGCGCCAAAAGATTGAGAGGATTTTCTCTTCTACCCCTAAAATCAACCAAAATATGAATTATTCTATTTAAACTAAATCAAAAAGTCTTACCACCCAGTGCGAGGTATTTAAAACAGTTCAGGAACTGTTTATAATACAACATATGAAAAATCTGTCTTTTCCATAAACTACTGAATTGTAGGTTCAGTAAATAGCACTTTGGGACTGAATAGTGCTTTGGTTTGCAAGTATTACTACCACTGGAATCTTCATGAAGGATAATTGTATGTGAATGTCAATGTCTATTATTTGCATGCAGTATTTTTTTTTTAACCTTTAGGCTAATAGCGAGAGAGAGATTTTTATCCAAAGCGTCCTACGTATTCCCTGAGAATCGAAACCATGACCTTGTCCATCCTCAGTGGTGCATCAATACAGCAGACTCTGCATTCATATTCCAACAAAGACAATCCTCTTCATTATTCATTTAACTCTCTCACACTGAAGATTGATTCACTTGTGTATAAATAACCACTTCCACACTTGCTCTACAAGTCCCTTGTGTTCGATGTCTCAACTCATCTGTAGTTACAAAATATAGCCTTCTACAGTGTGGCAATCATAGACTGTAAAAAATGGTGGCAATGTGACAGACATGCTAAAAATAGATGTACATTGTATTATAGCAATATCATGGGTTTATTTGTGGTCTCTAATCATGCATGGTGTAATACTCTCCCCATTAAACTGATTTGATTCTAAGGTATTGTAATTTATGGTTTAAAAAAGCACCTGCTAATAATTGCACATTTTGTGAGAATGTGGGAATGTTTTTCTCAAAAGCCATGAGTTGCCAAATACATAAACTAACTTGAAACTACATTAAATGTAGGTGTCTCACAGACTAATGATTGTTTTTGATCACGGGCACAGTCTATCTTACATGATATTTCATATAAGTTAGCTAATATTTTATGGCATTGTAAATTGATGATATATAGGGTGGCTCGGCAGGAGCTGTGGTGCAGCAGTAAGCAAGTATGATGCACATATATTACATGCACATATATTTTCGTATATCTTACATAAAAGTTTCTTCTGATGCTATTCTGAAGAGAACAATATAAAAAAATTCCAACCCCATCTCTCTCTACAGTCCTGTTTAATAAAGGCACAAAAAGCTCATAAATAAACAATTGTGGTGGATAGTTGTGGAGTGGAGCCACTATAAACAAAAGTCATAATGTGATAATATAATTCTCATAATGCTTAGTGGTAATATTTATGAAAAAGACGTCGATAAATAACGATCTATACCGTTGACTGAAAGGTCTTCATTTGAACATAGGACGCGCAGTCCAGAGTAGTCAGAAGAACCATAGACTGTAAAAAAAGAACCTGGTCAGAACGAATGATTCTAATGAACCGGTTCTTTTTAGTGAATCAACCACATAACCAGTGTAGAATCTTGAGCGAATGACTCTTTTGAGTCTGTTCTTTTTAAATAATCAAATCGCATATGAATCGCATAGGCTACCTACTTCCCTATATACAGTAAGTGAAAAACAGTGTAAAAAAAAAAAAAAGGTAGGCTAGCCTATGTCTGAATTAACAGTAGGCTACTCATACTTCCCTCTGGACACGCTCTTCCTCCCGTGTCATGATAAGAGTAGGCAAAGTACACGGATGGCCTACTTCTTCCCGGTGAGTTTCTGAAGTGTGCATCTGATGGACACTTTACTATCCCATGATGAGGCCACGGGAGAGGATTTGAGAATGGCATTCTACGCAACTGAAGCTGCAACGTAACTGGTAGTTCACATGACGGCAGCCAGCATGCCAAATAGCTAACGTTAGCTAGCCTATGTCTAGGTTAGGCTACATTCATACTATATAGATCACGGCTGTGAGTGAAGTAATTACTTATTCAAGATAAGTGCCTACTCAGGAGAGTATGCGATTTTGGACACAGCCGATTAGTTTGATTCATTAACGAATGAATGACTCGTATGAGTCGGTTCTTTATTTAGTGAATCAAAATCACTTTACTGGTGTAATCTGACTCACTTACTGAACCGCAGGTTATTGCATTGCTTTCTGTCTCGAAATTATCCAAGAATTTAAATCTTAATCTTAATACTTAACTCAGTTGTATTTTGAAAGAAAGAAAAATAAAGAAAGAAAGAATGAATGAAAGAATGAAAGAAAGATGATACCAATACATTTTTGGAACATTTACTTGCATTACTGCCTCTAAAATGTCTTTGTAAAATAATTAAAAGTTTAAGCGCACCTTTTAAGTGTATTACATTCACTATTTCTAATTTGTTAAATCTGTTCCGTTTAAATCTGAAATGATCATTTTAAATGATTCTACAAATTACAAACAATTCTTCCTCAAAAGTAAAATAATCGTCAAATGGAACTGATAAAGTACTCCGTACGATGCACCAGCGTTCATGATTTTAAGTCCTAAAAACGGTTTAAACACATTTTCTCCTGCACTCTGGTGATGACTGATAACATATTGTTTCGTAAATTTGCAAAAGGGGGTTACTCTCTCCGGAGAGAAGAGCTGTGAAGGAGTGAACAGATGCTTTTATTCATGATTTGTTCCAAAATCGTTGTGTTTTTCCCACACACACAGACTAAATCAAATCCTCGGGGGAAATAAGTCACATGAACAGTTGCATTGACTCCAAAGAAGCAGAGAAACGTCAGCGGTGCCCCGGTAACATCCAGAGCTCGACTGACTCAACTCCTCGAGCCTGAATATACGCCAGTATGTGTTTTATCTGATTTTTAAACTCATCTGTCTCGCTTAAAATGAGGGAAACAGCCCATGAACACTAACATAATCCGCTAAGGTAACCTCTCTCGATCTATGTTACTCATAATATATCGGATGCTGACTCATAGCAGTCCGAGTAAAGCACAAAATCCAGCGATTTCACTCAGGTGTGTGCTGGGAAGAAAGAGCGAGCAACATTGAGAAAATGTAATGAAATCAACTTACGCAGATGTAAAGCAACAGGCAAGATGAGGCAGGCGTTGCTGAGGAGAGGTGTCATCCTGAACAGATCCCAGTGCACAGAAACTGAAGGTAGTTCAGTCAGAGGTGTTCATTTAACAGAAACTCTGAGCATCAGCTTGCATTGCGCTGGAGTGATGAGTGATGAATGATTCACTAGCGCGCGTATCTTGTAGTAAAGGGGAGGAGGCTGCGGGAACACGGAGGTTTGTTTCAAGCAAGCACAACTTTTCATTTCACTCACGCATTACTACACGCTGGTGGTGGTCTACATACACTATCATTTATAAATCATCAGCAAACATTACATAATGATAACGTCAGTTGCTCACGTAGCTTACATAGGCTACATGTATGCATATAACAATATATAGGCATATATATATATATATATATATATATCATAAATAAAATGTCATAGATGAAAATCTATATTTTGTCAGTTAAAAGAAGCCTACTTGAGTGTATATTGACTAATGATCTGTAATGTATTATGTTATTGTATTATAAGATAAAACATACTAAAATTCCTACTACACTAATAAGTATTACACTTAGGTTAAAGTAAATTCTATCAAACATAACTGCATATTCACTTGTGTACTAAGATTGTATATTATTGAATACAAGATGGTTTTTCTAAATCAAGTTTATAAAAGCTACTTAAATGTCCTAATTAAACCCAGGCCTAATCCTGGCTTAACCTAATCCTTATCTGTGAAAGGCCTGTGTTTATGTCTTTTTTCATGAATAACTTAAACTTTGATCAAATTCAGTTTTACAGTTATTCATGTTGAAAGGTGTAAGGAGGTGCCACTGCTTATTGCAAGAATTAAAACAGGACTATGAAAAAGAAAACAGTCTTAACTGAACATTGAACAATGTTTTCCTTTTTTATTCCAAAAACGTCTAGGATGAAAGAAACAAGTGTAAAATATACAACATAATTCCAAACATAAGGAACAAAAATCGAAACACGAATGGAAAAATATTACAATTAAATTGTCGTACACAACCTGCAATGCAAATCTCTTGAGAGGCAAAAAAAAGTTTGTGTAAGCCTCAAACACTGAAGGCTATGTATTAGAGTAGAGTATAGTAACCCCAACATCATCAGACGTGTCTAAAACGGCATCGAAACCAAGTACTCTCGCAATGCAACAAAACCTTAAAACTGACAAGACGTTTGACATTTCAACCTGACATAACATAAAACTGTCTATCCGATCGCAGGTTATCTTTGCTGGAAAGTGGAAACTATACTATTTAAGAAAGTGAAATGAAGATGAAAAGGGATTAATACAGGTTTACAGAGCTTGAACAAAATAGGGTGTTAAATTCGTAAAAACAGGTTAACTTGTGTATACATGGCTCTCACCAGTAGCATGCAAGCATGCCGTGTTTAATATATCCTAATTAGAGCCTCAGATTTATCCTCAATTGCACAGCAGGCTCATGTCTGTTAAAGAGCATTTTTTTTACATAAGAGAATAAAGCAAAAGGACACATTGCCTACACCCTGTAAAAATGTCCTAATGAGCCACACAGACTGCTGCAAAAGGCTGTGGATATAATATGCACAGCTCAAAAATAAAGATGACAGGGAACGAATAATGTGTTAACAAACACGATCAACGGGCCGGCACTTCCTTGTTGCATTGGCATGAAACTTGTGAGGAAATAATGAATGAAAAAAAAAAAAAACTCAGATCACAGTTTACAGCACTTTAAAGGAAACGTTTCAGAAAAAAAACCTGTCCATTCCTAACTTCAATTCTGTGTTAATGTGAGAAAGAAAATTTGCTTGAAGATAGGCCACACACACATGTGGCGCCCATCATAGGGTTCGAGGACACGATTACCAGTATCTGATACGCAAAAGGCTGATAAGGCACTTTCTTTTTTGTTCTTCCTCTATCAGAGGGCATGACCAAATAGTCCCTCCTAATGTATAACAAGTGTCGGCAATCTCAGTCTGAATCAAATACAAGCAACTGACTAGAACAGAGCAGAAAGTAGGCATTCCAGCTAGTTTCAGCCACTTTCTCCAACACTTTCAAATATTTGGGGGCTACGATACATATGAAACAGAAAAAAACCTGCTTTTAAAAAAAAGCCTTGTTGCATTCGCTGTAGTGTAATTTCACAGAAGAACTGAAAACAAAGAAAAAAAAAATTCACAGAAGCCACCATATAAAATTAGAAAAAAAAAAATATATAGATGCCTGCCCTCTAGAGACTTGCAGTTGTACTGCAGGTGATGGGACTCAAGGTTCCTCTGAAGAGATTCTAAATAACTATGTGGTTAGCATTCCTTGGTAATAGAAGCCCTCAAACATATTTTACAGGGCTCTGTTGATTGGAAAACATGGTATCAACTGTGTGGGATGATTTTGCAATTGTCCAGAAGTTAAATTGTTAGAACAGAAATCTCGCTTTGATCTTTTTGTATCCCGATAGAATTAACAAAAAAAATTCCAGGAACATGTGTGATGCTGCACTTGACATGAGAAAGCAGCATGTTGGCCAAATTATTTTCAGCAAAACAGACGAGTCAGATAAGGAGGATCAGTGGCCTAAATACAACCTTCATCAATAACCAACAGGGCTAATGTTCATGAAGCGATGATAATGTCTCCATATCTGCAGCTATTAATGGCGCTTCACCAAAATAAACAGAAAAGCAGAGCAGCCAGAAAACCATCCGTTCAGCAGAAACTCTGAGTGTTCATGTTATAGTTTCGTTCTCATGCTCTCCACAGTCTTGTTCCTGATTCCTTGTCAAGGATGAAAGCCAAAAAAAAAAAAAAAAACACCATGATGTCGTGGTCTCAAGGTATTAAACACAATGTAAATGAACTGAAGTATCCCATGTCCTGTTCTGCATTGATGGTGCCGCATACAAACTGATGATTTTTCACATGTGCAGGCAGAAAAAAAAAAAAGCCTGAAAGGAGGAAGGACAGGATGGGGAGATGTAGTCCAAACCCACCAATATATCTTTACGTCCAAGTCTGGACTACAACTCCTAATAGTGCTTTGGAGAGAGCCAATAAGCTGCAGAGCACAGATAAGCAACCGAACAGCAGGGTGGTACGAGGTCATGACGGGACGCTGACTGAAGGGTTGTGAAGATGTCAGCTGTACCATCTGAAGGGGCTCTAGTGATTGACCAGGCCCTGCAGCATCATCATGAGGCGCCGTGCACGCTTGCTCAGAGGGCTCTGGGTGTCCTGCTGCAGGAAGTGGAGGAGCTTCTGTCGTACCTGGGACAGCACTGCAGACATGTGGTCTCGGGTGACTGGATCTCCGTGGTCCAGGTTCATCACAGCATCTTCTAGATAGCTAATGAATGAGAGAAAGGAGATAAAAAAATCTTTCTACAAAGATGGCCATTCATGAAATAGATTTTTTTGCAAGTAACATATTTTATATTATTGCAGAAGTTAATGACATTTCCACTTTCTACGGCTTTTCTAACTCCACTAGAGAAGTGTTTGTGGTGCAGTCAGTGTTTTTTATTTTCCCCGCGACATCAGAGAAACGAGTCAAATGGCGTTTAACTACTCGAGTGTTTCACACAAAACAACCTGGATATGAGCTTCCATGAGCAAAAATGGCACATTTCAAAGTACGTACTTCCGAACAAGTGCCTTTTAAATAAACGGGAACCCCGGAAAAAAATTGCTTTCTCCAGGCATTTTAAGAGCTCCTTGGCTTACAACTGAAAAACACCTCCTGACATCATGCAATCATCAGCGTCAGACTCATGAAGGAGCCGATGTTTTCTTATATCAGGCTTTGATTCAACTGGAGGCACCGTTTACATCATTTATTTCATCAAAGTGTTTTGGCAGGAAGGCTAAATTCCTTTAATCTCTCCTGTTACGATCACCAGTTTGCTTTGAAGCCAAATCTCATTAATATTGGAAGCACTTTGCACTGGGCCAGACCTCTAACAATGTATTAATATTAAATTCAAAAAGTGCAAGAGGTCTGAGCTTTTCATAGCTGAATTTTCAGCAGCCATTAGTCCGGTCTTCAGTGTCCTTCAGAAATCATTTTAATATGCTGATTTGGTGCTGAAGAAACGTTTGCTCAAGATGCCTTTTATTTCAAGCTTCTATGAAGAAAAACATTTACCGTATTTTCCGCACTATAAGGCGCACCGGATTATAAGGCGCACCTTCAATGAATGACCTATTTTAGAACATTTTTCATATATAGGGCGCACCGGATTATAAGGCGCATAAGATACTGCAGTCAAACGTTTGACTGGGTTTGCGTTATGCATCCACTAGATGTGCTAAAGGGAATGTCAACAAAACAGTCAGACAAAGTCAAACTTTATTAAGCGTTCTGACAACTCCGTTCACTCCCATGGTAACGTTGTTCAAACGTTAAAGGAAAACTCCGGTCAATTTTAACATTGAGCTCATTTTTTTGTAAATTTGGAGTGCTGTCAGTACAGATAACAACGACAAAAACCGGTGTTGCCTACACCGTGTTATCCTCTTTTTAAAATTTGCACCCTGTTGACTTACACGGGACAAGTTTTACAACCTTAATGTGTCATTACAAGTGCACAGCCATGTGAGTGAACACGGTGAATCTGACTGCAGTAAATGTGAAATATATGAATAAAAATTATGTTTATTCAGCCAGCTCACATACCCGTATTTTCTTCCTGTTTTCGGTCAAAGTCCACAGTAGGCGACTGTCAGCTGTCAGCCGATGACGGTGCTGTGTGGTGTTCTGAGAATATCAGCTCAAATGGATAGTTCATTCGAATCAGGTATTGAACACACGGAGGTTTGATCGCGCGCGAACTCGACAATCAACTACTGTGGACTTCGGCCGAAAACAGGAAGTAAATACGGGTATGTGAGCTGGCTGAATAAAGAGATTATTCCTGCCTTCGTGAAAGCTCGGATCACAGTTGAGACTGATATATCAGCCCAGGCATCCACGATCCATTGGCAGATAGTGGCGCAAGTCGCCCGGCGCTGTCTCCCCGTCTTGGTGAACGTGTGTTCACCATCCATATATAAAGCGCCCCGGATTATAAGGCGCACTGTCGTTTTTTTGAGATAATTAAAGGCTTTTAAGTGCGCCCTATAGTACGGAAAATACGGTATTTGAAATACAAATCTTATATAAAAATTCATCAATTGAATACATCCTTGCTGAACAAAAATATTAATTTCTTTCAAAACCCCCCATCATTTGAATGACTAGCACTAGTCATTCATTCCAGTCCTCAAACACAAATCTGGTGTTTTTTTGACAGCTGTACTAACAGAACATGTTTGTTATTTCTTTAAGCTATTCTAGGGTAAAGCTTTTTTGGTCTTCTCTCCAGGCTGTTTTTTTTTTTTATTTCTTTTTTTTTTTATAAAGTCCATCAAGGATTAGTAAAATGCCACCTGTCTGGAAAACTATGTGGGAAATCTCTCCATCTGTCTTTTAAAATGAATAGACATTGCTGTATGATACCACCAGAGACTTGAGCGGTATGTTGCACAGAGGTCATCTTAATTACCTTACAAGCGATCATTAAGTTAAAGCTTCCGATAAAAAAAAAAATGAAATGTAATACAATGACCTTAATATCCCCAGGACTTTGCGGTGTGGTGCTGTCCAGATGGCTAAGCTTTCATGCCTCATGGCAGTTTGCTCTATTTTCACATGTGTAGGCCCTGTTCCAATTCATTTAAGCCCACAGTCATGTTATCTCAACTATAATCTATTGGCCCGGAGAGATATTACATTCTCTGTGCAAAGAAATTACTGTTTACATCTTGTATTCTGCTAACCTTTATTTGCGAAGGTAAAAGGCGATCACTGCGGAGCACAACGCACAGGGCTTGGTGGTATGACAGAACATAACCATGTGATGCTAAAAACAAGTCAACCAGTTGAGATTCTGCTGTACTATTCGTAGAAAAAAAAAAACACAGGCCTGGAACACCATATTCAAAAAAACAAAGCCAGAACCATCCACTTCAATATTCGTTTTACTGTTCACTGCATTTTGTTGTTTAATACTCAAGTGTTACATAATGTGAAGCAGCTGTTGTGCTAATTCCAGACTTGCTTTTCAGTATCACGTGCCATGAGCGCCACATTACAAAGCGTTCAGGTAAAAAGATAAAGCTTGCAAATTAGATTTTTTCTTTTTAAAATGTGCCACAAGACCCCTGCTCGATCCATTCTGTTGCACTCGGCAAGCTGTAGCTAAATGCAAAACAAATGAGTCTTATGTACTGTATCATATGTCCAATATGGAATTAAGGTATAGTGTGTGATTAATAATTGGGTCATGATAGTCTGGTCTGGATCTTTCAACAAATTACTTGGTGAATATTCATGAGCCATTAATTAAACACACACACTACCAGTCAAAAGTTTGGAATAATTTTTGTTATTTAATTTAACGTTTTTGAATAGCCTCTTATTCTCACCGTTTAGTGTCCCATGAACCTTCAGAAATCATTCAAATATGCTGATTTGGCAGTTAAGTAACATTTAATATTAATACATTTGTTTCGTTCATAATTTGAATATGTATTAAATGATGAGACTTTCCTTTTGTGAATAACATTTATATGAATATGAATCATATTTAAGTTTGATTTTCATATGAAGGTGTCTAATGGTTTCTGTCATAAACAAAAGCGTAGACTCAAATAAATATTAATTCAGGCACTATAAATATATATAAAACCTAAAGCATGTGCCTTACTGCTTAAAATAACATCCTTATGTCTAAGCAGAAAACGGACAGACTTACAGATGGTAATGTCTATGCGCATATGGACAGTATGAAACACTAGTATTTTAGAGTGCAATTCAGAGATAGGACTGGCAGATCGCAGTTTATAGCAGTAAAGGGACTTGGCAGCACACAGGCAGAGCATTACTCTGAGATTCACAGGAGTTAGTCCCTTTCTCCCTGCAGAGAACTCGAATGCAGCCCAGACTGTACAGCACTTTAATAACTGCAGCCCAATGCAGCACTGCCACAGAAGCCAATGTCCCCTTCAACACAAGGTCATTCACAGAGGAATTAAAGAGAAGGGGACGATGTCTCGAGTCTTAAAGCATTAATGTCCTGTGATATGAAACCGCATTTTGTCCTTGATCACGTACAACACAGAGGACTATAAATAAATACTTAAGAGTTTAATCATTAAAAGCACAGTGCTCTGCATGCTTTTGCATACTCATTGAAACTGCAAGGGGGATGCTGAAGGAATAACTGCTATATAAAAGGACATTTTGAGATAAGTATAGAGCATGAATGCACTGACTGCTAGAGCTGAAGGGAACAAACCTGATCTTGAGTTCTGTGCGTGTGCTGAGGTTGGTGGAGAGCTGCTGGATGAGGGACAGGAGGACGGCCTGATGGAGTGGACAGGGCTGCTGGCCGAACACTTGCTGAGAGTCAATGGTCTCACACACGTACAGCACCAGATTCAGGTCTGCTGCAGATAAAGCCTGCAAGAAAAAAAAAAAATCACAGCAAGCAGTCAGGAAAAAACCTGGAGAGGAATAATACAAGACTGTGTTGCTGTGAAAGATCACATATATAGAGACGATAGTAAAAGGTCAAATCCCATGTTATGTCACCTGTGGAAATAAGTATTAAACTAAAGGTTCAATTTCACCTAACAGTTCAGACTAATTATAGTGATTCTCTACAACCATTAAATTGACCAAAAATGCTAATTATGTAATAAATTAACAAGTTATGAATACAAATCAAGAGAATACTGAACAGTTATTGCAGTCTGACTGTCAGCACTTATGTTAAGACGTCTCCTCCCAAAAGCTTAATTAGGCTACTAGTGATTTGCATTATTTAACTTGAACAATAACCCTACAGAGGGTAACCAAAAATGCTACTGATTTCCTCCATAGAGAAGTGTTTGTAAAGAGGTTTCCCTTAAAGGCCCATTGAAGTGGCTTGAAACACGCAGCATTATTCAATGTGTTGACGTAATTTCCACTGAAACAGGAAGACAGGACGAAACTAAATCGAACAGCTCCTCCCCCTTTTTAAAATACCCAATAGCATTTAGTTTATATCACAGCTATATATTATATTTACCATGTAGAAAATAGTAAATGCGTGAATAAGTGACTGATTTTAGCCACAGTTTCAGCATTTATATGTAGGGGGGGCGGGGCACTTTAGATTCTAGAGAGCATTTGTTTGGACTAAATCTGATGAGAAGCTGAAATGCAGAGTGATGTCATTAAAATCATTGATCCATAATTGACGAAGTTTTGAATGCTTATATCTTCTAAATGTGAATTTTGTCATTGTTTTGGAGCACTAGCTTATAGATAACAGTAAGACTAACATATTCATACTAAAAGCCCAATAACTCCAATATTGATTTCATGTGGACTTTAAATGCTTACATTTCACAAAAAGCAAACAGTTACCGTGTGGCACATTTTGCAGCGGTATATGGCTTCATGCAGTGGTTCTCAACCTTTTAGACCTTTCCACTGGAATTTCTTGCTGCATTTAGGACAAACATACTTGTTTACATATTTATTAACAGAAACCATACATTAAATTAATTTAAATTCATTCTTTAAAATTCTAAATCGGTGTTCTTGATGTTTTTTCTACAAAAAAAAAAATAGTTATTGAGGGAGAAAGAAAATAGCTTGGTTGAGAACCACTGGCTTAATGCATGTAAAAGTGTGTTAAAAGGGCTACGCACATTACATAGCAGTTTATCCAATTGCACCACTAATGACCATAAAAAAGCCCATAAAACATGATCACAGATGCATGATATCATAAGTGAAATATCAGGCATATGTATGTGTCTAGCGATCAGTAACTAACCTGTTGGAAGGCCTCGTTGAGCTGGCCCTGCTGTAGTAACTGCAGTATGCTGGCCTGCTGGGCCTGGTAGTCCAGATGTGTGGAGGGGACAGGAGTTCCTGCAGCCGAGCGCATGGCCTGCATGATGCTGGAGGTGACGGCTGCCTGCTGCTCCTTCATGGCCAGACTCACCTCTCCCTTCACTATGCGCTGCACCTGCGTCAGGATTGAGTCCTGCAGGCTGCAGAGAGGAGAGGCACCATTAGACTATGGCAACAATATAAAAAAATACATAACCAATCGGTGGCAACAAGTGACTGTTAATAAAAAAGAAAAGTAGTATGTCTTTGAATCATTCATTCAAGATATTGGTTCAAAAACCAGACTTATCCAGTAATGAAAGTGAGGCTTTATGCGCGAGTCATTGAATTATTCATTCAAACCAAAAAAAGAAAGAAAAATTGATTCTATATTTTTAAATAGACCAGCAATTAACATTTTGTCAGAACCTCCAGTAAATTACATCATTTTGTTTAGTTGTCTATTCGGAATCATGAGAAAATCATTATCTCTATTTTTTTTTTTTATCGTGATTCTTAATTTATCCAGAATTATTCAGCTCTACTTCGTTGGAGCATATCATTTACTAAATTAGAAATAAATAATCTGAAAAAAAAAAAAAAAATCAATATGAAAAACATTATTTAAACTTTACAAAGCAACTTCTTGGTTTTTTTGGTAAAAAAAATAAAAAAATAAAAAGTTAAATACAGGATTAAAAAGGAAGTAAACACTAAGCAAACAACACTGTTCGCAGAATTAAACATTTATTAGATATTCAAAGACTTCACATTTATATAATTTAAACTGTCTTTTGAATTTTATAGGCATATTTGCCTAAACATATATATATATACTATATAAACATGCTAAAATGGGTGGTGGATATAATGAAATTTCATGTTTGTTTGATTGTAATTTAACACCATGCCAGCTTCCGTATCAATTGGTGAAAAATGTCAAAAATACAATAAAAGATTAAAAACCTAATTACGTTTTTACAAGTATTGGTTTATACGACAGAAATGTTGGTATTGTAAATATCAGACTGCAGTGTAAACCTCAAAGTATCAAACTAATTAGTGACAAATTATTTTTGTTTCAAACGCCACATGATTGAATCCCTCCAACTTGAATTTAATACTACAGTCTTAATTGCATATATGTGAGAGGAAAACAAACCAGCTTTATTGACAGAAATTAAATCCAGGATTAGGCAGAGTGCCACACATACCGATCAATTTGCAATGTCCATAATGCAGAGCTACACCCCAACCAAAAAAAACCTTTCTCTGCATTAACAACCGAATCATTCTACTCTATTCATGCAACAAAGTTATCCATAAGGTAAGGCATACAAGGGGAAAAAGAATACCTTATATTGATTTTTGATTTCTGACTATATTAAATAGGCTCTGTGCTGCATGCATGTGACAGAAAGCCTTACTTTCCCACGATCATGTGGAGCTGATGCTGAACATCAGAGCACACGCTGGCCGTCACAGTGGAGGCCAGCTGGTCTTGAGAATTCTGGAGCGTGTCAATCATCTGTTGCAGCTGGCCAATCACGGGATCCCGTGCATCCTGGTCCCGCTGTTTCCTGTTCTTGACGTGTGTCTCTAGCTGTTGGATGTCTGTAGGAGAAAGTAAAGTCATTATACATTTAGTAACACATTAAAAGGGTTGTAATAATTAGCTGGTGCTACAGACACAAGATGTGTAAAACAGACCTAAAAAGCATGCAACAACTTGCCAGATTCATTAATATGCTCAATGGTTATTTTTTTTATTACTGTAAAAAAGCAGAAAAAAATGTCAGATTGGTAGCGAAGTCTATTGTGATGTTCTTACACTCGTGGGTTCCCTGTTTGAAGCTATCATTGATCTGCTGAAACATGGACTGGCAGCCTCTCTCAAACACAGGAAGCACAATGCTCTGGAAGGTCTCTTTGTAGGCTGCCTGAATGGGGCCCTGCATGGCCTCAGCAGCAGCACGACCAATGGCATCTGTAGTGTTCTGTGAATGGAAGAATAGGACAAAAAGTTAGAAGAGTTAGAGTTTTCCCCAGTTTGTGCCTGTTTCGTCTTCCGTGATGAATTATTCAGTTCTACACTGGTGCATAGAAGTTGGTGCATTTCTTTTGAACTGCTCAGTTTGTAGTTTCAGAGAAACGTTCTTTACAGACAGAAATGTTTTTAACCCAGTCTTTGGAAAATGATATCCTAACAAATGGCAAGTTTGGATGGATTTCTTTTCATTTTTTTAAGTGCTCATTCTCAAACGTTAAGCCACTGACCTTGGACTTAACAACTTTGGTGACATTTTCCTTCAGTGTTCCTTCCACTGCGGTTAACTTGGCAGCGATGGTGCTGTTCATCTGGCCAGTCACAGGTTCTAGACTCTTCGATATGGCTGCATAAAAAAAAGGTGAACTAAAGCTTTACATAAACATTAAAAATCAATAAAAGTCTTCTTTCCAGCCCTGTCACAGGGACAAAAAAAAAAAAGAGCAGAATGTTCTTTGCTGTATTGAACGTTGACAAAAAAAAGTACAGTTAAGATCTTGAGCTTAGCACATCGGCACTCACACTGTGGGACAATCTTCTTCATTTCTTCACGCAAAACTTTGTCTAGCCGGTTGCACAGACTGTTGTTCAGAGTCTGGACAAGCTGCTGAACAAGCTGGTCGTGGAGCTGTTGGTTCCGGCTTTGTCCCTCAGCCAGAATTCGCTCCATTCTTCTTTCTGTCAACAGCTAGTTAAAGTTAACAACAAATAGTATAGGCCCGACCAATCGAAAGGATTTTTCTTTAGTGTGTGCATGCATATGAAAAAAGATCATGCATTTGAGAACAATATTCATCTCAGCTTTCTTGCTTTTTCTTGTGATAGTGGGCTTAGATTTTACGTCATTTTCATCTTAGATTATATTTAAGTTGCTTTGAAATATGTCACACGACAGAAGGTAAATGTTTTATGAATGGCACCACACATGAAGAAGCTACATTTCTAAGTTAATATTCTGTAGAAATTACAGTAGAGTGGGACTTTTATCTTTCTGGTTTATTTAGCATGAAAATGGAGCGTGGCCATGAAACATGATGGGCTACAATATCAATATTACTCAGCCAGTGTAGCATTGTTGATGAAATACCATGCGTTTAAATTCTCTTAAATTTTTTTTTCAATTTCATATCGTTCTTTCGTTGTCTTTGCTATAATCCTTATCTAGCTATGAGTCTCCCCCTAGTGGAAGGATACGTTCTTGCTCCTGCTGAGCCAACATGGAGTGCTCGATATGAGCCATGATGGAGCTCTGTATGGCATCCATGTGGCTGGTAACTCTCTGCAGAATGTCCAGCTGGTTCTGTCTCAGCTCTGCTAACTCCCTCTGCTGGCTCCGCAACATCAGCAGGAGCTCATCTTGCACCTCTGTGCTCATCTGAGAACACAACAGCAAATTAATTCCTCACACGAAGCATCAGAAAAGTTGCAAGTCTTAGCAGTCACAGCAGAACATTCATATTACAGAGCTTGCCATGTTATTCATGGTTTAGCATTGAATTAATGTTTTATTTATATGATGAATCACAGTGACTAGACAGAAAACAAGCCTTAGCGCATTTTGATTGGGTTTACACAATACAAATGCTACGAAATGCATTCGGATTGTGGTGCAGGGGATCAACAGACTTACCTGGTTCTCAATCTGTCTAGACTGTGAGGACTCTCTGGGAAGGGAGAAAAACAAAGATGATCTAATCAGTCACACAATCAGATTATATGGCTGAAGGGGCTCACCACTCAATCCCAAATTAAACAATATAAACATTAATATCAGGAAGATTTACATAGTAAGGAGGGCAGCTCACTCACCCTTCATCTTTCTTGCTCTTCCTCTTGAGTTTGGGGGAGCTGCGTGGTGATGTTTTCCAGTCCTTTACGGGAAGTCTGTGAGAGGAGCGAGCGCCACAGTTCCCCGATGAGGAGGCCAGACTGGCAACCTCATCATCATGATCACTGTCAATCACAGCAGGAAAAGAAAAGAAGTGAAAAGACAAGAGATAAGCAAAATTGTCTTCAGGGTATTGAAGATTGAACTAAAGTTTGTTGAGTCATGCTCAGACTTGTTTGGACATGCTCAGACATGCTTTGCCAGAAAATGTTTTGCCACTAGATGGCGGGCAAGAACATAGTCAAAGGACAATTTAAGAAATTAATTGATGAAAATGCAACTAGAATTGCCTGTGACAGACTGTTACAGTGTCTTTTGTAACTGGTAGTGAGCTGTTACTCTGTGTTAAATCCTGTAGTAGGACAGTCATCAACAAAAAGCCACATTTGTGTGGCGGTGTCTGGGTTTTACACTAGGTAAATTAATAAAGCAGTAGTGGCGAGTCACGATTTTTGAATATTCGATTAGTTGATTTAATTATAGAATATCGAATAGGTTGTGGGATTGTATAAAAAAAAAAAACCCATGTTTACTGTGCTGATGCGTTAATGTAACCAGAGGGTGACGCTGCCAATAACGCACCTAAAAGCTGTCACAAAGAACCGGCAAAAGTAATGATTATGAATGTTTCAAATATAGCAAGGAGACAGTTTAATTGTTTATTAATAAACTAGTGTTTTCTGTGTCCGTGTCGGCTGCAATAGTAACCGCAGTAGTGAACGCGCCTATAGGGAGAAATGCACATTTCATACAGATTAAATAAGCAAAGAGTAATCGGTTTCTTTTCGTTTTGAATTGTTTTGTTTAAAAGTAGACATTTCAAGCTTTCTATATATATATATTTCTCGTGTCTCTGAGGCAGCTTATACGCTGAGTTTCAGTTCATTTATGAGACGAGCTCAAGTTCACATGCAATACAATCGCGCCGGCGCCTGCATGTCCTGATTATATTGTCTGTAAATCCAGGCAATTGGTTGATGAAACATTGATTAAAATTAAGATACAATTTATACAAAACGAAATTTACTTTAAAGAAAGGCTTTCTACAAAACTTAATGAAGTGGTCAAAATCATGTCTGACCCACATGTCTCCAGATATATTGCTGCATCTTGCAACATACCACCTTGCTAAAACACATATCTGGGAGATGAGGAATGGATAAAAATACCTCAAAAAAATAAAAGAGTACTTGAATAAGCCCATTAATGGCATGTTTGAGTCATGCTCTCAACGAACTGTTTTATTTCCTCTTTCCATATTGTGAATAATAAATGTGTATAATTTTAATTTGCTTGTTACACAATGGACCCTAATTTATTGTAATAATTATTTGACGTAGCCTACTTTAACACTTACGTACTAAACTGCAATTTTTTTTATTGTTTGCGTGCTGGAGGCAGGCTATTACGTCGAGTGATGTCAACATTTAAGCTAGCTGGTGAGAAAATTGCACTATCAAAGAGTCTGGAAAGTTGACAGCAAAAATAGGACATACAAAGAAGAATAGAAAGACAACCGTTCATCCTACCTAGTTTTGTAAATGCAAAGCCGCTGTGTCTTATCTGCAACGAAGTTGTCGCTGTTTGCAAAGAATATAATATTAGACATTTCATGAAGGCTATTTTAGAGGTGTGTCTAGCGATCCACAGACTCTTTTGAATGTCTTTCAGAACTTTTAAAATTAAAAGCCATCAATTAATCTCAAAATAAAACATTTCTGCAAAAACGTTCTCATACTTTTATTTTGAAGGCAAAATTACTAAAGACGAAGTGATTGAGTAACTGTTGCTGTCATGACAGATCTATTTCAGAACCAGCCACAATCAAAATAATCTGGCTGCCAGATGTTATTGCTGACGGGCCAGTTTTGGCCCACGGGACGCCTGTTGCCGAACCCTGCTTTACACTGAATGAGGAATCTAATGAGGAATTAAAATGTAAAACGCCATATTCGCATAACTTTTTGCAAAATTTCAAATCCCTCAGTTCTCACCAACTCCAAAAAGCCATCTAATGTTGATTCTCGTTTTGTTATAAGTTCTGTAGCGTTCTCTTTTTGCCAGCAGACTCTCCTCTGTTTGCCCTTTTTTTTTTTTTAAATGGGTGATTCCCCAGAGGTTTGCAATTTGCTTTCTCAATGTCAACCTTTCTCACTCATTGTGACAACTAACCTACGCCACTCCCACACCATACATGCGTCAAAGTAGCCGGAGCACCTTTTCTCTATTTACCGATATGTCGAAACATGCACTAGTGAGTAGAACGCTGTACAACATTTTTCCATAAAAAACCATCCCATCAGGTCTGAAATATAAACACTTATAATAGGCTTAAAATAGTGAATCAGGGTAAGACAAAAACATGTTTTGGAAGAAGGATTGATATATTGACTAATTTAAATTTAACCCCCCAAAAAAAAAAGTTACATAGTGTACCTTTAAAATGTCAACAACAAAAAATGACTAAGGAAGCACAGAAACCATTTTGGTGGCTTAATTTGAAGAATATCCTACATATCCCACATTATAGGATTCGTATTACAGAAACATCCAAACTCAGAATCCCATTTCAGAGCAGAACTCATTTAGAACACTAAACAGGACATTTTTGTAATACCATTCCAAGAGGGGGGAAAAAATAAAATTGAGAGTCGTGACAGGTTTTCTTTAGCAGACAGTTTGCATGTCCTTGATTTGAATTGCTCACATCACTATTGTCAGTGAAGGTCAGACTAATATTCTGACAAATTTGACTGAATCCATGTAATGTTTCTGTTCCTAATTAAGTTACCAGCCAACTGGTGAGACATTTATTTCACAGCTGGTGTTAATATTATGTGGCCACAGACCTCATAATACTCCCATTAACTTAATCTGAGATTCACGCATTTTACAGCTTCCTAAAATGCTTGTATGACAAGCAATTGTAAAGTTAAAATGAAAAGACAGCAAAACTGAACAAATCCTTATTAAAAATGAAAAATGAGTATAGTAATGGGATCTGAGCTTCAGAGGATGCTGACTTCTGTATAGGTGATACTCCAAAATGTAAAGTTTACCTCTGCTCTGCACTTGCATCTTGACTGTCGTTCTGAGTCAGGTGATAGGTACGCCTGTGGTAGGGGGAAGAAATGTGCCTGTCCTTTATTTCCTCCCTAGAGCTGGAAATAAACAGTCAAAACAGAGTTATCAAATGCTTTAGCTTTGTATTATCAAATATTATCACTGATTTCTCAAAACATAAATCAATACTAAATGTCAATATTAAATTAACATCAACAAATCACAAAACAGATGAAAAATATTAGGGGTGTAACGATATTCGAACCGAAAAACCGCGATACACCACCCACGATACTCTCATGGCATACCAAACACGCCCCGCCCCCTGCTGCCCCGCCCAGCCCTGGCTCAATGGACCTCATGTCTTATGTGTACACAACGAATACAGAGTTGTAGCCCAACCACCATTAACACCCTATAATAGCAAGCTCCATGTTTTGTTACTTTCGATAATAAGCAAGATGTAGTCTTTGAAATTATGTCTATTTGATCACGAAATTCAAACAATAAATGCCGTTTTGGCGCTCTTAGATGTGGCGTGACAGATCACTGTACTAGATTCCTCATCTAAAGAGGCAGCGCGGAGCGCGAGTAAACGCGATCATCTCTTCCTCAGTTACAGAATAAACACGAATGGACACCCGAAGGTATGTTGAAAGATACAGTAACAGTATACTTACTGAAAGGCATCATAACTCGTGTAATCACTCAATCAGTGTTACAACAGCGGAAATACGTCAATAAAACGCTTAGTTTTTCACATAGCTTTATATTTATCAATTTTAGCTTTCTAAACTGAACTGACGGTCTTTAGAAAAGTTTCGATGTTGTTTCAATTGAATCTTTCTTTCCTAAAAAAAAGCAGTGTTTATGAGCGCTGCTGCTTTGTGTACAGCCGTTACCAGGGAAACCGCTGTTTCAGCCGCTCCTAAAGCGCCTCCTGCTGGCACAGCCTTGCAAACCTGTATTAATACTAGTGTGGAATTTTTCTATAATATTCACTGGATGACAGTAAAATAGGGCGTTCTAAGTCAATCTACTGCAGTATTTCCTCTGTCAATCAGTAGAAAATGTGGTTAACACCCAGTCATGCTTGAAGAAATATACGTCATATACCGTGAAACCGGTATAATTTTGAGCAATACCGTGATATGGATATTTGGTCATACCGCCCAGCACTAATACAAATTATATTTTATTACTTTATATTATTGTATATAGAATAATAGAACAGCAACTCACCAGTCTCCCAAACCATTGTCTCTCAGGCTATTGCGAGTCTCTCGTGTGATATCGGGTGCTGCTGGCCACGCATGGTTCACACTGCTGTCAGAACAAGAACCTCCACCCGCTACAGCGTTCTCCTGTGACAGAGCAGTCTCTAGTAGGGAGGGTGTGTTATTGAGTCTTTGTTCTCCATCCACAGATGCTGCACCCAATTCGAGAGGCAGCAAACTGTGCTCAGCACCGCTCCGGGCTCTCGGAGACAGCAGGTGGAGGACCGATGCGGCTGAAGCCATGCTGTCAGAATGCAGGACGGAGACCGAGTCAGCAGCGGCACCAGCCAGTCCTCTCTGCAGGGTTTCTGAGGCGATCTCGGGGATGTCCTGGGACATTGCCGTAGAAGCAGATGAAATGACATCCGGAGAGCGAGCTCTGGTCGGAGAGGCCTGAGGGACAATCATGGGATCTATGGCCTGGAGATCCATGGAGAGAGGAGGGTTTGGAGAGGAAACCTGTGGAGGAGGAGATGGGAAATAAGGGAGGGGAAGTCTGTGAGAGTAAGGAGCAGCTTCGCAGAGCAGAGAGGCCTCTCGCAGTAGGGATGGAGAAAGCACCAGTGGGGGAGAGAAACCCTAACCGGATGGGGATTTTAAATGGAAGAGTGGATAGAGGGATGCCAGATAAACAGAAGAATTGTTACATTAGTTTTTCATTTAAATCAGATCTAAAGGACTGACAGTCTGAGCTGTCATTTTGTGAGTGCTGAAATCTGATCTGATTTGTTCAGATGGACAGTGGATATGGATATTGCCCATGCTATATCTACACTAATGACATAAGCATTTACTCAACCATTCAAGTTTAAGATCAAATAAAAAAAAATGTATGGTCTGGTTTCACAAACAGGGCCTAGATTAAGCCAGGATTAGGCCTTAGTTTAATTAGGACATTTATTATAAAACATTACTGATGTGCATCTTGAAACAAAACAATGGCACTGATATTTTAAGATAAAAAAAGGACAGTAAAGATTTCCATTTCTAATAAATACTGTTATTTTGAACTTTCTATTGATCAAAGAATCCTTAAAATGTATTAGTTTCCACAAAATTATTAAGCAGCACACTTAAGCAGTTTTTCAATATTGGCAATAATAATAATAAATGTTGGAGTACCAAATCAGCATATTAGAATGATTTCTAAAGAATTACGTCTCACTCAAGAGTGGAGTAATGGCTGCTGGAAATTTAGCTTTGCATCACAATAAATGATATTTAAAAATGTGTAAAAAAATTAAAATAATTTTTTTTTTATAAATGTCTCGTCTAAGGCTGCACGATTAATCGCAATACTCCGAAATCCCGCTTAAACCGATCTGGCTTAGTGCGATTATGGAATCGCAAAGGCTGTGATTATTTTCTATGCACAGCTTGTCAGTGAAGCATGGCTCTGTGGTCAGCAGCAAATGCTGCTCCATCTGAAATGTTTATAACGTCGCTTATAACGTGCATTTGAAAAAGCAACACGTCAAATATCTTCCCAAACAAGCATTTATGAACCTCTTGACCAACAAAAGACAACATTTAATAACATGTTTTTACTCTAAACTCACTTCATAACGACATTTGCGCATCCCACTGTGAGATGTGGCTTCTTACTCTGAAATATGTCGTGTGCCTTATTCTAAGTGTTCTATACAGTGGTAAAGGCTATGTCGATTAGCTTTGAAGTATAAATATACTTTATCATGAAAATACCCAAGGAGGCTTGATGAACCATACATTGTCATAGTCGTCTGTTTATTAGTCATGTTCATAGGCGTAATCTGCGGGTGGGACCTGTTCCCACCACTTTTTGCCAGGGTCGATATTGTCCCCACCACTTTTGAAACATCTCGCGGCACGGATTTAACTAATACAAATAAATAAAACATCTCCAGTTAACTAGCAGAGCATTCATTTTTAAATAAGAGGCGATCTAGCATGCTGAAATGTGTTGTTTTTGAAATCAAGTGATCAAAGTGCTCGTTGACTGCGATCAGTGGCGCGGATACAGTGTTCTCTTGTGGCTCGCGCTGCATCCGTTGCAGACTCTCTATTCGTTCCGGTGAAATCACAAAGTAAAATGCACACAAATGTTTCCCTGCTTGATATACAACCACTGATAAACATAATCGGTTTTAATGAGAAAAAAAAAAAAAGACGAGTGTGGATTAGAACCCGTTCTCTGACACGCTTGGCAAAAGTTCTGCCACTGGACCATTTAAGTACATGCATGTACCATTTAAATCGATTGCTGGACATCGATATGTTATTGTACATAGGTACATCTGATTTATGATTTAGCACTGTATTTATGATTTAGCACTTCTGGAAATACACTTCCGAATGCGTCTCTGTCCCCAGCACATTTCAAACCAAACTGACGCCCATGGTCATGTTTAACCAATAAAATTTCAATCTTCCATTTATTCAGCTACAGCGATATAGTATGATGCCCATAGGGATTGGAACGACATTAATTCTGCAGGGCATTTTTAGAGTTCCTGCACGAGCGCCCTATGGCTTTCTTTTGTCTTTTTCGGATAGGACAGTGGAAAGGGTTGGGTGGAGAGAGGGGAATGGGATCGGCAAAGGACCTCAAGTCGGATTTGAACCCGGGTCGGCCAGAGGCGCCAATGTCAGTGCCCTAACCCCACTAGGCTATCAGCACCGACACCCTATGGCTTTCTGATGGAGCAGCATTTACTACTGATCACAGAGCTGTGCTTCACTGACAAGCTGCACATTAATAATACAAATAAATAAATGTTAAAAAAAACGTGTGCGGTTTACTTTCGATTAATCGTGCAGTCCTAGTCTTGTCACTTTTAACATCCTTGCTAAATAACATTATTAATTTCTTTAAAAAAAAAGACTTAGTTTACAAAGTCACATCTTTTATACACCGTTACTAATAGACAATATAGTACTAAATGCAATTTACCATGTCCATTAATACCTGGATGTTTTCCCCAAGGCCTGAGATAAGGATGGAGTTGGATCTTGAACTGCCAGCGCTGGCACTCAGAGTCAAGCTGGTGTTGCCACATTCGACAGACATTTTAGGGCTCTGGGTCAGATCATCTCCACCCCTGGAAGAAAGAAAATTGAGCAATGCCTATGAGTGCGTGACGGGGCCCAACATTTTACACTCTGATGTGTACTTTTGTACACTGAGTGCAATTCATACAGTGAAATCCAAAAGTCTCAAAAAAACAAAACACTTATGAAAATGAAGAGGGTAAAAATGTTTCTTAAAAAAAGAAAAAGAAAACTTGACAAAAATGAGTTGAATCTCCCACCTTGCACCGTTGTCTGAGCTGCTCATGGCCGTGACTATGGTCAGGCTGCTTGCACTGCTGCCAGGAGAGGCGGGCATCTAAAAAAACAAGAGAGCAAGGATAAATGATTACCATCACTGAAGCGACCCAATGATGAACCCGTAATATTAAAGGCTTACAGAAGCACTGGGCGTCATAAAGGCGTCCGGGGTCATGAGTTTGGGCAAGGCTGATGGGGCTGGACTCATGAAGTCTGCTGGACTTGGAAGCGGCAGTATTTTACTCAGGTCATTCTGTGATCCACTGTCCCCAGACTCCTTATCAGAGCTCATTGCCTCCACATTCAGATCAGCCAGTGGGTCAGAAAAACCTGGGGGAATGCAAAAAAAAAAAAAAAAAAAAAAAAAAATCCCATATTGTGAAAATGCTTAACATTTAAATTTTAAAATAAAAAAATATGCATATTTAAATACATAAGATTTATAAACAATACGTCACACACAACAATGATTTTTTCATCACCTTAATTAATTCAGACCATAATTTGGGTAAAATACTTTTTTTTTTTTGCCATAGCACTGTAGATTCAGTAGTGAAGGTCTCGGAAACATATGTAAAAAATAATAGTATACTTTCCAGACTCACCAAAGCCATCTTGTGATCCAGACTGAGGCATGAAAAGGGAGGATGAGGCCCCCTGATTGGGCTGGAACCAGATCTGCACATCCTGTAGTGATCTGTAGGCATAAGAGTGTTATAAATATCTGAATACAAATCTCATGCCTCCATCGAGAGATGTATTTTGTATGTAAATAACTCACTTTGTATGCACACAGTAGAGTTTAATCTGGATTCCTGATTTGGACTCTGAGGGTCCCTGGCTTCCTTCTGTGAGAAGATATTAAAACGGAACAGTATTAAAAGCGTCATCTGAACGCATCTTCACTCACCTTACAGCAAGACTACAAACATTTGCACATGCAAAGCTAGCATTAAAAAAAAGGGAGGAACGGACCTGTTGTCATGCTTTCACTTTCTTCATCAGGGGGAAGGACCTCAGTGTGCCGCAATCGTGCACGGGCAACATCCTGTATGCCGAAGCTGAGCACAGGGTATGTAAGCAGAAACTCTGAAACTGCAGTGAAGTTGGCACGGCCTTTTTCCTGGTTCTGTAGCAGCTCCATGACGTACAACACCTACATATCAAACACACAACCCAGAATCAGCTGGTAATAAACAACCAGTTATTTACTTACACAATGTCATTGTTTGCTTGTTGTAATAGCAACACTGACCTAAGCTCAAGAATCTCATTAAACAGAAACCAGAAAAACAGAAACCGAAACCCATGCTGGAGTTAGATAGTTGACCATGGTTTAAATTTGATTTTATACTTCCTATTTGTCTTTCAGTAATTTTAGGACAGGTAGAAATTCCAAAAACCTGCAGACAGACCTAATTTTAGTCTTTCCTGGTGTGAGACAATTATTAGATTCAAGAATATCTCCCATCCACAATTGGTGCTTGAAGATGTTTTGCATCAGGTTTGACGTCAATGTTTCCAAAAGACTAAACATATGAATGAATAACATTTTAGAGCTACACCAGAGGGAGAGTTTTTCAGTGCAGTGGCAGATTTAGGCATGGGCGACATGGGCAATCGACATCTTTACAGTGGCACAAGGCATCCGCGAAAAAAGAAAAGAAGTAAAAAATAAAAAAACTCAATATATTATGTCACAGGGAATTAACCTGGGGTGTGTTTCCCAAAGCCAACTACGGTCTGAAGTTTTGTCATTACCAATAATGGAACTTGCTAACAAAGTTTTTGGAAACGCACCCCTGGTCGGATTCAGTTTTCACGCCCGGAAAAGTACTCTCACTCAGAAGTGAGGAGGAGCAGGGGTTGTTTTAAGTCACCTCAGGGCTTCCATTGAAGTGACGTCAGTAGAGAAAGCGGGATAAGTTCTAAATCAACACAAATTGAAATTATGGATAACAAAAAAAGGTCTAAGCCAGGAGCCTAAATTAGCAAAATGAAGAGGGGAAACATGCGACAATAAAAGGTATGTATGCAGCTACCCTCGTATCATTATGAGTGTAAATTTTAAATAGAGATGCACCGATTCCAATTTTCTAGGCCGATCCCGATTCCGATTTTTCCTCGAGTTTGACCTGCCGATACCGATTTAATTTTTTCAAACCACTTTACAGCACACACAAATATTTATTTTCTATCTTCTCTTTAATAGAACATTTTGCATAGAACATTTTTTTGAACAGATAATCGCTATAAAATAGAACTATATAAATTACTCCTGGTGTGGGAAATTCACACACATCTAAAGTGCAGTGTTATGGAAGAACCATTTCCTTTTCACATCCAATATCCAACTAAAACAATTTGATTTTTAGCAAACTAAACTTCTGTATGAAAACAGGTAATGACAATAAAATAATATATAAATAACAAATAAAAATAAAATAAATATTGCCTTGCAGTATAAAGATATTTCTCTCTCTCACACACACACACACAGGCCTATTGCAATCACTTGTACATCAATGGCAAGTTACATTTCTCACACAGTTCTTCTCTCATCTGACACATGTCCAGCCAAGCTAAACAGGACAAGTGGGGCATGTGCAGGGAAACGATTGGGAAATAATAAAAACAAGTTTAAATGCCTACTTCAGTTCTTGTTAAAACACACCAGACATGCAAATTCTGTGCATTTTGGATGAAATCATATTTATTTTGTCCATCAAAAGTGAGCTTTCACTTAAATTGAGCGCAGCAAAAATGGACTCGTTCGGCGCTGAAACCCGCGCTTCACTTTTGCTCACGCGACGCTCCTGCTCGACGCTCACGCTCACGCGCTTCTCCGGCTCCCGGTGTGAATGCACTCATTGATTAACATGCACGCCAAACAAAAATAAAACGCGCTGCTCCCGCTTGCGGTGTGAAACGGCCTTAATTCATGAGGTTTCCTACATGTGCGTGTTTCGTGTGCACGTGTGATGCTGATGTTGCGCGATGTTAATCATGCGGCGCCCGAGTGCATTTGACCGGCATAAAATCGGATTATGTCAGACTGACCGGCCGGTCGCCGATCATGGCCGATCACGTGAAAACCGGCCGATTCCGGTCACCAGCCGATCAATCGGTGCATCTCTAATTTTAAATATATAATAAAACTATTTATAATAAAAATAAACTAAAAAAAAAAGTCCTACAAACTTACGTAAACAGACAGAGAAAAGTTTTTTAAAACAAAAGTAATATCACTAACTTTATCAATATTTTTAGTGTACAGTTGTGGGGGATTTATGTTTTTTTTCTTCTTTTTTTCCCCTCAATTTATAATAATTTAAATATATACATTTATATAAAACAGCAAAATTCTTTTTTGAAAAAAAATTTACTTTAAAAAGACCTACATTTCTCAATTTCATTCATGGTGATAACATGAATAATGTGTCATGGTTTAGTGGAAGATTGCTGTCCTCTACTGGAAAACAAACACTTTTAAAATAAAATAAAACATGAAATTTCAACTACAACCATTAGATGGTAGCAGAGGATTACACAATAGCTCATATACCATTTCCACGTTTTTCATTCAAATTTATGTTTAGACATTATAAAATCATAATTTGCAAAACAACATAGCATTTTTTTATTCTAAAGTTTTTTTTTTTTTTTTTTTTTTTATAATGTCAACATTACAGTCAAACCTGAAAACTGTTATGCTATCAAATACTCAACGCACATACGATCAGGATGTTAAAATAAACAAACCCTCACATTTCAGGTCATCGACAACACCACTGACGAGTAGATATTGAACAATAAACATGTCCCAGACAGGTTCGTCACTTGATGGGGTACCCTTGAAACATTTCAGTTGCAGTCTGTGCTATTTGCAGCGCATTTTTGTATTTAGTTGCATTAAGAGTATTTGCAGCACGAGTTGTCAAACTGAATGTTCTTTTTTTTATTTGCATGCATTTTCTTTAGTTGCAGCACGTTCAGCTTTCTTGGTCACCGCAGATTCACCCAGGGCGCGATATATGAGCTAGAGCCACCACGGTTTCAGTGAATAACGACTTAAAATGTAATTTGTATGGAAATGAGCAACATGGACACTCTGCAGAATCACTAATTGTGGTTTCAACCGAAGACAGAAAATCATACAGATTTGAAACGCCATGAGAGTGAGTAAACAAAACATGTGGGCATTAAATATGAAATAATAATGAGTCTGACCTTCCTCTGAACATCACTAAGGATAAGAAACTCTGCAGACAGGTCCAAACTGGCCTTCAGGCTGGGTAGCACACTGCTGTTAAATGGATCTGGAGAAAACCTGAAACACAAATGAATAGTTCTTCTAAAATTCATATTTAGGTCACATCCATAGACTTAAGGGATAGGTGAAAGTTTTATGCTTAAAGGGTTAGTTTACCCCAAAATGAAAATTCTTTCATCATTTACTCACCCTCATGCTGTTCCAAACCTGTAAGACTTTTTATCTTTGAAACACAAATTAATATATTTTAATGAAATCTGAGATTTCGGTCCTTCCATTGACAGTCTACAACTACCACTTTGTCACTTCAATTTTTTTTAATAAGAGATCGTAAAACTAATCCTTATGAATTGAGTGGTTTAGTCCAAATTTTCAGGAAACACGTGATTGCTTTATATGATAAACATTGCATTTAGACTTTTAACATTCATCAACACATACATCAGATATGGTAAGCGGAAGTTTAAGCATGGTTGCCTGACCTGCAAGATCCAATGAGGTTCATTCTTGTGTTACGCAACACCAAGCGTGCCGCACAAGCCCTGAAAAGTGAAGCCAAAACGTATCGATCGCCCCCCAGTGACTGGTCCTAATATAGGTCATAAACCCCGCTTCCCCATGTTATTCAACGGCACGTGAGACCAACTGAACAATTAAATAACACTTCAAATATAATTTTCCCAAAGATAGTTTGTCATTTACTGTAGTTTTTATCACGCTGATGTAATTTCAAGTGTTTGTTTTAAAAATAAGTTTGTTTTTAGATAGTTATTCGATGCGGTGGTGTGACGTCACGATTGACAGGTTCTCTGAGCGATGTAGTCACTGAAGCACCAACAGACTTTTTTTCAGGATCTTCGGAGGACTGAGGAGATTGGAGCTTTAAATTTAATATCTAAATTTCTATAATTAATTTTAAAAAGTGCCGGAGCGTGGGATTGCGATTGATTCTGCGAGAGTGAGGGTGGGGCCTTGATTTCGCGGCTTTACTTCCTGCTCGCTACTGCGCAGGTCTGGTCCCGAGATCGCTACTGCGCAGACTCAAGTTCCAAGATGTCAGCGCCATATCGGGATACTGGCGGCTTCACTTCTGACCAATGGAAGAGAGCGAAGGGGCGTCGTCCATCTTTTTTTACAGTCTATGCGCAACACGTTTGAGCTTCCGCAAGAACCAATGAGGTTTGTTCTCACGCGTCAAGCATGAACGGTTGAGCTTCTGTTTATGTTTGCTGATAAATGTTTATGTGCGAATAAAAGCCTAAATTCAATATGTTTATCATATAAAACAATCCAGTATCTTCAGAAAATTGACTAAACTGCTCGATTCATGTGCATTAGTTTTACCTCTTTATGAACAAAGCAACAAAGTGGTAGTTGAATGGACAGTCAATGGAGGGACAAAAATCTCTCAGATTTCATCAAAAATATCATTTGTGTTTCTAAGATGAACCAATGACTTGCGTGTTTAAAACGACATGAGGGTAAGCGATGAAAATCTTTTCATTTTGGGGTGAACTAACCTTTGAAGCTTGAACACCATAGAACATAGCTGTGGGCATATCTAACAATTAAAAATGTAAACACTTCTATTGATCATGCAAGCTCCATAGTTTTTACAGCTTTTAGCTTAAGAACAGACCTGATGGTTTGTAAGCAGGTCCATGACACTGTGCACCACATTTTCAGCTCCTGGTTCTGATCAGCTCCAGTGATCAGGAATCGCCAAAACGGAACTCTTCAGAAAAACAAAAATGGTTTTATGTTCAAAGATATACAGCACATGTCTAAGACACACAATTTCAAAGAGTAAAGACAACAGCAAAGACAGTTAAAGACCAGAGTCAGATTCCCTGATGACTTGAGATGCTGACAAAAATGTAACTGCGATCACTGAAGACTAAATGAACTTGAGACTCACTCAGGGTCTTGCTTCTTGTGGTTGTCACAAAAGAGCAGGCAGGAAAGGGGCCGTCCATTATGTGGCTGCCATTCGTGCAAACATCTACAAAAGGAACAAGGTTACTTGGATTTATTACCAGACTGCAGGCTATCGATTTAATTACAGGATGGCTTCAGAGGAAGAATAAAATTTAAAAAAAAGAAAGAAATCTTGTTAATACTCATTTTTATTATTAACAATATGATTACATATTAAAGGGGTCATATGATGCAATTACATGTTTTCCTTTTTCTTTAGTGTGTTATGTAGCTGTTAGTGCAAGTATAAGATCTGCAGAGATACAAAGCTCAAAGTATGTCAAACCTAAAGAGATATTCTTTATAAAGGTTAAGGCTTAGCCACACCTTCCTAAAACGCTTCGTTCAAACACGCCCCCACAAATCTATGTCAGTATGTGGGGGCAGAGTTTCATAACACCGCCCAATCATATACGCATAGGCAGAGTAACTTTTATTCTCGCTGTATTATTGTTGCCGCCGTGTCATGGAGACACTGTTTTTCGTTGAGAAAGCCAAACTACTTTGTTTGGCCTTCCAAAAGACGACACAATTACAAAACAGTGCTTAAGTTTTATTTACAACACGGTTCCAGAACAGTAAAACTAAAATTTTCCACTGTGTGCTGTGCATTTTTCGGAGGACTGATTCCAGAACCTGGGAGAGTACCAGGCTGGCTGTGCACAAAGGCTGATTCTAAAAAGCAATTCCATATTTGCATGTACAGTCTGGGTCTCCCGACTCACACAGCCTGTATGTATGTTTCATATTTTAAGAATTTGCTACTGACTATTCAAACACGAGTTTTTAGCAGTATAGAGTAGCGCTTGCTTGTCGTTTCTACGATCATATATGCAGACATATTTTTATGTTTACATTGTGTTCTCACACCCATAGCGCGGTGCGACACGTAAAAAGACAGCAAGTCATTATAATCAGTAAATATGAATGACTAACATGAAATAAAATAAAACCTTACCAATCAAATACCATCTGGTTCAGTCGCGCTGGCAAAGTTAATCGATCAGCTTAGTCATCTGCATTTTCCGGATCAGATTTGGGCTCGAATTGATATGGTAGTGCTGTCATTATCACCTGTCATTATTGCTTTGGGAGCTGACGTTCCAAATATAGTAACGGCGTGACATTTCCGTCACATGCTTAAGGTTTTTGGGCCAATCACAATGCACTGGAACGCTGGCCAATCAGAGCACACCGCGCTTTTCAGAACGATGAGCTTTGTAAAAACTGACGCGTTTCAGAAAGGCGGAGCATAGGGGAGCAACAATAATGTACAGTATGTGTAAAATAATGACTTTTTTTAACCTAAAACCGCGTAAACACATTGCATTAAACCAAATACACAAAATAATGCTCTTTTTAGAACCATCATATTACCTCTTTAAATATCAAATGGCATATATTGACAACTCATTTATGTGGTAATTACAGTCACAAGTTTACTATATACACATTTAGTAATATAAATGTATATTAGTACAGATATTTTTTCCCTTGAAAACTAGATGCAATAAATGTTTTATTAATGGTAGGGTAAGCAATATCGGAGAGGCTAGCAATACCAAGCTATCTTTGAAAGCATAAGATCCCACCCTCCCTTCAGAACGCTCTCTAAAGCCACGCCTCCTCTAAAACACATGAAGAAAAACAATCAGAGCAGAGTCTGCAAAACATCACGAAACGAGAGACGATGTTAAATTACCTCATGTCTCAAAGCACAAAACATAACATAATAATGAACGTAAACAACTTATAGGCTCTAACTTGTACCACCTGTCTGCTGCAGATTCATTTTGGTATTGACAGTGTTGCCAGAAAAAAAGCATAAATCCGAGTCTGAGGGCGTGCACAGGTTGCTATCTCATAATTACGGTAATCACTAGTGGTCGACCGATATTGTTTTTTGATGGCCGATGCCGATATCTTAGAGAGCAGGGTGGCCGATGGCTGATATTTATATACACACTTTATATTTATTTTAATTAATATTTAATAAATTAGAAATAAATTAGAAAACAAATCTTTAAAATAAACATGCTTATATTTTAGATGGCATCTTCTTAAATTTGCAATCCCATTACAGTTTTTTTTTTTTTTTTACAAATAAAGTAATTGTTTAAAAATATATAAATGTGAATAAAAAGGAAGTAAACACTGTAACAGGGCACTCAGTAATCTGGTCATTTCATGCAAACTGGTAATCATTTTTTTTCAAATAAAGACAAGGTAACGCTAATTTTACATACAGCACACAGTGAAAACTATATTAATATGACAAATGGGCAACTGGATATAGCACAGCATATTTAAAAATTAAGGATTTAAAGTTTTTCGATAGCGTCTCCTGTGAAGCTGATCTTCTATTCACTCCCTTCGCACGGACCGACCATCACTCGCAGCAGTGGTCTAAAAACCACCCGTCAAAATAAAAGTCCTGCTTCCAACATATCAGCCAATCAGAAAAACGTATCGGCCGATGCCGATATTTTAAAAATGCCAAATATCGGCCTTGGCGATATATCGGTCAACCGCTAGTAATCACGACATGGCGTGAGCGCAGCATAAGCTTGTTTTGGTTCAGGAGGAACTGTAAAAGATGGCTGCTGTTTGTTTGCGGCGCTTGGTTACTTTCTGTCTACAACTCTGCATAGCTTTACTGAACGTGCTAATGATGACGTGATGTGTTCACGAGCAGGTTGCGGGGAGGTATGGAAATACATATGTTGACAGGATGCAATGATTGGACGAAGATTTTTTGGTCCTGAGACTTCCACAGAAGATATATGTACATGTTTTAACATTTAGACCACTTCTATTATTGATCGCTATCAGGATGTGAAGAGAGTTTCAACCAGTATAACAAAAAGAGTTCATAAAAAGAATTGCCTACCCTACCTTTATTTGGAAAATACATGAAAGCTACATGAAGCAGCTATTACTCCAGTATTCAGTGTCACATGATCCTTCACAAAGCATTCAAATATGCTGATTTGGTGCTCAAAAAGATCTTTTATCAGAATTTGTTATATTTTGATTCGATCATCAATGTTGAAAACAATTGTACTGCTTAATATTTTTTGTAAAAAATTAACAAAGTTCAAAAGACCAACACTTATTTGAAATATAAATCTTTTTGTAACATCATAAATGCCTTTACTGTCACTTTTGATCAAATGAATGCATCCTTGCTGAATAAGTAATAATTTCTTAAAATAAAAAAGCCCTATAGACCTAACATTTTTACAGTGTGTTTAATTTCATAATGTCTCCAGCATGTACCTGGGTTGGTCCTGTCCTTCAATGTAGATTTGCCAAAATTTTACATATCCATCATGACTTGCTGTGGCCAAGACAGTGCCATCAGGGGACAGCGCTCCCTCACTGATGCGCTGCATAGAAAAAGTAATATGTTTAATTATAAACATCACACTACATAAGTACATAACTAATTTATGTGCCATTGATTACATTAAATCTATCTCATTTCTTAATTAGTTAATACAGCACTGCAGGCTAAAGGATGGCAGGACTTACTGCTGTGTGTCCTCTAATAGTGATAAACCCCTCTTTCAGTTCAGTGGCATCCACAGGCCATGAGCTGTTATTGGATCGGAGGATGTCAAGGTCCCAAACCTCAGCCTACAAGTACAAGCAAAAATCCAGTTAAGAGAGTAATAGTGTTAAAAACATTTTAAATCTAATAATATGGGGACATTTCAGAAAGTAAGTTATAAAACTGTCAAATTCCACACAAAAAACATACTCTGTCTTCATGAAGCAGTGCCAATGTCTGACACGCATCCTCCGGGTTCTCATCATTGTCTTCTGGGATAAAGGGACACCAGATGAGTCTGCGGTTGGAATTAAGTGGAGTGTCCTCAGGCCTGTGGATGTGAACGATCACTTCATCTCTAAGAGACATCGATGTTAAAGAGAAATATCATAGTTCACCTGCTTATTAGCATTTTACTAGGTAACACTATTTCGATGGCCCACTTGAGATATTCTACAAACTATAAGTAACTTTGCAACTACGTGTCACCTAACTCTCAGAGTATTAGTAGACTGTCTGCTTAATATCTGCTAAGACTTTATTTTGATGGTCCCACAACAGATATTCTACTAATTATAAATAACTTTGCAACTACATGTCAACTTATTTCATTTACCCGAACCAGTCTAATACTCTAATGAGAGTTAGTTGACATGTAGTTGCTGTAAAGTTACTATAGTTACTTATAGTTAGTATTTAGTAAAATTACTTACTGGTAACACTTTACAGTAAGGTTTCATTACAACTTTAGTTAACATGAACTAAGCATTAAATTCTACAGCATTTATTAATCTTAGTTCATGTTTTTTCCACATTTACTAATACATTATTAAAATAAAAAGCTGAATTTTTGTTAACATTAATGCATAATGTATTTTTTTAACTAACATTTACAAAAGATTAATACATACTGTAACAAATGTCCTGCTCATTGTTAGTTAATACACTAACTAATGTTAACAAATGAGACCTTATTGTAACACGTTACCAAGTTACTTCTAGTCAGTAGAATATCAAAAGTGGACTCAAGTGAACCTGTACTACAAATACGTGAAACCAGATTTTTTTTTTTTTAATTAAACCTGAAAAAGAGACAGATTTAGGATTTTTAGGAGAAAGTTGTGATATAAAATAAAAAGGAAATATTTAATATTATTTTTAAAGGTATATTTGTGACACTGATCATGTTAATTTTTAAAACAAAAAAATATCATTAGTGGTCTCGAACCTTCGGGTATCTCATTAACCTCCTGTTTTTGTGAATCTTTTTTTAACAAACAAAAAAAGTCTAGCAAATGTCCATCTACAGAGGATACTGTATTTTGCTGTTGTGACTAGTGAGCTGCCAAATGAACATGTTTCCAGCCTCATCCACACAGGCCAAGAGGGTGGAGTCCAAGTGGGCGAAAGCAAGGTCTGTGACTGCACCGGTGAAGCCCTTCAGCAGCGAACGCTCCGTCGAGCCCAGTTGCAACACGCGGATCATAGAATGATTGTTTGCACCTGTGAGCGATAAACAATTACAAACCATTCATTTGAATCCCATCAACATTTTATTCAAATGAGTGTGCTAAATGAGCCATGTACAAAGACAGCAATAGAAAAGTGTGCAAACTGACCTCTGATGGCATAAGCCACGTATGAGTTGGACACGGCTATTAAATTGCCATAGTAGTACTTGTGCTCCCAGTCATATTTGGCCACTGGCTGTATTTTAACCTGCAAGACAGTCATGAGGAATAGATTCAGAGAATAAAAAAATTCAGGCTTTCTACATATTTTGACCTATTAATTGTTACGAGTTTCCCAATAGTTAGTTTTTAAATATCAATTTATAGACTTAAAAAAAAAAAAATTCTAGCTAAGTAAATATTTTCTAGCTGGATGATTTATTGACTAGAAATTTCCATGACTTTAAAGATTTTATTAATTTCAAATGACTACCCGGGCCAGGCCTGGTAATTTCCTTATATTTTCAGGTTTTCCATGACTGTGAAACCCTGAACTGCTAATAAGAAACAGTTTTGCACAATTAATTAATTTACACACCTTGTTGCTACCACGAGCCTTACTGTCAATACTAGAGTCACGGCTGGACACAATTTCCACATTGTTTGCTCTGATGGAGACACAGGTGGACTCATCATCTCCTGAAAGGCAGCTGGTACAAAAAACAGACTTATGAAATATCTTTCTTTTTTTTAAACCCAGCTTACTCAACATACACTAACGTTCAAACATAGCTATTGATAATAAGAAATGTTTCTTGAGAATCAAATCAGCATATTAGAATGATTTTTGAAGGATCATGTGACTCTGAAGACTGGAGTAATGATGATGAAAATTCAGCTTGTCATCACAAGAAAGAATTACATTTAAAAAAAATATTAAAATAGAAAAAAGTTATTTTAAATTGTAATAATATTTCACATAGTTTTTCCATGTATTTTTAATCAAATAAATGCAGCCTTCGTGAAAATGAGACTTCTTTCAGTAGTGTAAATATTATAACCAACCATTTTAAGTTTAGTACATAATGTAGAAAGATAATGCCATCATAACAATAATGGTTTGCCAAGGAATGAGAATAATATTATACAATTAATGTTATGACAGCAAATACATACATGGTCTGTGTGTCCTGTCCATTGAGTTTGTCAGAGTTGTGAGAAGTCGGCTCCACCATTTCTGTATGTCCTCCTGCGTTGATAATATCCGCTCCAAAAACTCCATTCAACTCTCCATTGAAAGATAGATTTCTCTGGCTCTCTACCAAAGAGGAATCTGTGGAATTATTTGATTAATAAATCAAGTCTTAAATGCACCTGTACATCCTCTGACTCTTACTACAATTACTTCCAAAACATGAATGATCATCTATGCTTGACAGATATTTTGTTTGATATTTTGATAAACACATATATATATATACATATAATACACACACACATATATATATATATATATATATATATATATATGTGTGTGTGTGTGTGTTAATTGTACATGTAGTCTAACTAGGTAAACTAATACAGGGGTTCTGCAGGTTTGATGAAGGTAAATTTAAGACTCATTTTAAAGAACTTTTTATAACCAAGGAAAGAAAATTGAAGGAACAAATTGAAGGGAATAAATTACATCAATATGTTCTCTAAGTGTCTAAGGCGGAAGAAACAATGAGTTGTATTAGCAACACTTCAAAGTTGGAAGATACAACTTCCAACAGGTCTCCATTACTACCTAATTATTTTTTACAACCAAAAAAAAAAAAAAAAGCTTGAATCACTCTGCTCCCAACCACTGGAATATAGACAAGTTACTGTACCTTCTGGGAGAAAAAGAAAAGATAATTTTTCTTTATCTGTGTTTTTGTCTTGTTTCCCAGTACAAAAAAAAATCTAAACATTCTTAAAACAAGATACATTTACTTGAGAAGCAAAGATGTTAAGACTTAAGATATTAAGTCTTGCTTTCTGTGAAATTGATCAAAATGAAGTGATTTTATGATTAAAACAAGAACAAATATCTGCCAGTATGAGATCAGAAAAACCAACTTAATTCAAATGCAAGGTTTCATCACTCATTGACATTTGGTTTTGGTTTAAGCATCTCACTTTTTTCAAGAATCTCACTTTTTTCAAGACTTGATTTTACATTTTGCTTCTCCAGTGAATGTATCTTGGTTTAAGAACGTTTAGATTAGTGCATGTAACATTTAATTCCATGCCTTTATGAATTTAAGACTCTCTGTTTTGATTTAAGCCCTTTTTCAAGGCCTTCGTTTGTGTAAGGATGAATTAAGACTTTTTAAGACCTGCAGAAACCCCGTAGCGATGATGCACAAAAAGTTGTCGAGGTTTCTAAAAAAAAAAATGTTTTACATGCCTTCTCTCAAATTCTATAAAAAAATGTTTGTTGTGGTCACGGTTATCAAGTCACCGCATAGTGATAAATATGAAGTGCTTTAAACTCTTGAATGACATTTATTCTCATAATGTCGCAATTAATACTCAACACTTTCTGTCTGAGCAAAGCTGCTGCTGCGCCAGCAGGAGTGTAGCCCTTATTTGCTACATTAACGTTACCCCCTTTTAGTCAATCGCAATATTACACAGAATAATAATGTTTGCCGCTTATAAAATCTAGTTAGCGTTGTCCCGCGTTTTTGAGCAACTATAGTCAGGTGGCTCGCGCTGAAATCAAGCGCTGCGCAGCATCATCGCACCGCGGCCTAGCTGCTCCCTTCCCCGGCAACTTACCGGCCGAATTACCGGGACGATCCAGTTTTAAGATGTCCCGAAGGTGCTGGGTCGCGCCCTCTATGTCCATATTGGAACTGGAAGCCATAAAGTAGGGAAGGGGGGATTAATTCGCTGGAAACGGTCAAATTCTCAAGTTTAATTAAGTATCTGAGCTCGCCCCTCATTAAAGCTTGCAACCGTCCCTCAACTTCCGTTGAGCGTTCACTGCATTTCATTCCCCCGCCTCTGCTGGCAGGATTTCTTTAGTTCCGGACAGAATCACCTAACTTGACGGACACTTAAATTGTAACAAGATAACCTGTTTTTAGAGATCACTAATAAATATGTATATTTTATTGTCGTGTCATCATTATCATTTCACTCATTAAATTTTTAGTAGTTGTCAGAAAATCACCTAAAGCAAGAACAAATCTATTTCAACTAGTTCCTTCACCACCTATAGAAATAACAATAACATCACACTTTACTTTGATCTCCTTTATTTCCACATACATGTAGGCAACTGAAGTAGTCTCTTACTGTATTCACATTGTATTACTGTTGTTTTTGTTGGAAAAATCAATTCTTCTTTTGCTATTCCCCTCAAACCACAAATGAGAGGGTGTTTCTGCAGGTTCGAGCAAGCATGACGTACGTGTACAATACATGTATTTGCCCAGCAAAAATATGTGAGAAAGCGACTCATTATAATGATGTTCTATCAGATCTGTTTAGATATTTCAGTGCAAAAAGCTACAACTCAGAAGACATCTCTCTAAAATATCTGTACCATCTCTTGGCACAAAGGCCATCATATTTTATGAATATGATTTTCTAATCCTAAACAATGAGCATAACTCCTTTAGTGTAAACATGTGAAAATGAAAAGAATCACCTCTTATTCCCACAAACTAGTATTTCTGATGTCATGTCACGTTTCATGCTTCGTGATCCTTCTTAAGACGGTAATGTCAAAATATAACCCTAAATATAGAAGGTAATAACAGCTTTGGGCACACTACAAACTCGATGGCATTTACATTCATACTTACAAAACATAAAAAGCTTATGAAACATAACATCCCAATATGGGGAAAAGAAGCCTCTAAACTACAACTGAAAGGGTAAATGAAAAATTAAAGCACTATGAAAATTAATCTGCACTTCTGGGGGTTTTCTGTTTGTCTCAAACTCATTTTTATCCATGCCTAAACTTGCTCTGTGATGTATCATCATTGGAGGACGCATATAATTTTTCCTTTTTTCAACAAGAGCATCCATTGATGATTCTACCATTCATAGGGTTAGGGTTACATAGAAAATGTTGAAAAATAATTTTTAGTATGAACATCTGCTTCAGGAGACACTGGCCACCTATAACAAGAGAAATACCGGCTCCATTGTGTTTGGCTCTGCTCAAATAAAACAATAATCTTAATGAGAGAATCTAATATTAAACAGTATCAAAAATATGAACAGTCAAGCATAGAAAAGGGGAAAAAAGGTAGAGGCACAACCAGACAGGGGGATGAACAAGATGACGTTGTTAAGAAAAAGTCAAAGGTTTTATTGTGTATCGTGGCTTGGTAATTATTGTCACAGAGAGCAGTGAGCAGAAATCGGGAAGCACACTGGTCTGAGGGGAAGGGGAAATTAGGGTTGTGTTCTTTGGATAGCTAGAACAACCTGACATCACATTGAATGGAGACACCAATTTCAAAGGGGGGGCAAAAAAAAAATTACAAAAAAAAAATTAAACTTCACGGAGCATATTCTAAAAACAAGCAGATAACACTTTGTACTTAAGCAAACAAAGACAGACAGTTGTTATTTCAAAGTCAAAAATCAGCAACTACAATGTAAATATCAAACAGCCGAGGTTAGGTTAATACGCATTTGTCCTGGTCAGGGCGTCCTCTGATCTTTAAGCTCCCCATCATCATGCAGGTTGGAGAAGGAAAAGGGTCAGTTTGATGGATGTGTGGGCTTTCAGCAAAGAAACATGTCATTTCTGGAGTAGAGGCAGTACTGTATATGCCTGCATGTTTTCTGTGATTGACTGCTGTAATCCGGTGCCGTTTCTCTTTAGTGTGATGAATGAAGGGCTGATTGACAGGTTCAGGCGTCATCAGGGCGGGCCCCATCCTCCACCTTCCCCCACTTCCCTCCTGCTACCCATGGGGCATTTAACCAAAATTGTGCAGCGACAGGCGGAACATGTCATTGGTGCAAACCCACGCCTCGTTAATGTTCTTCAGGATGAAGCTCTGATGGAATCCCATGATGGGGTCATCATCTGCCTAGACAAAGCAGAAACACAGAGACTTAGTCGGAAGATTTCATTCTGTGCAACACTTCATTAAAGAGAAGGGGTATAGCTAAACCAGAGCTAAACATTAAAATTCTGTTACACTTAATCAAAAATCATGCATGGTTTCAGATATGTTTAGCAAATTTCAAGGCAAATTAATCCAGATACAGAAAGGCTGATAGTTTGTCACAATATTCTCAATTTTTCCCCCAATAAGGAGTTAATTTAATTAATATTTTTTAAAGGATATATTGGTCAGTGAAGGTGAAATAAAAATAAAAACAAGACTGTATATAAGACAAATGCATGGAAAGGTGATAAACAATCTGGGTCAGTTTCTCATAAACACTTAGCCTAGTTCTGGGCTCAAATTATCTTCAGTAATGAATCACCATAAATAATACAATAACCCAAGACAAGGCATCAACTATGTCATGTATACTGACCCTTTATTAGGTTATTGTATTTTATTAAAGGTATAGATCCCCCTAAAATTAAAATTAAGTCATAATTTACTCACCCTGGTGTTGTTCTAATGCCGTATTCCCTTTTTTCTTTTTCAAACCACAAAATCTGAATTTTTAAGAAATGTCCTGCTCGTGCTTGTAATGGCGGTAAATAGCAAACAGCATCCAGCTTTTTAAAAAAGACGCAAAAGTATCACAGAATGATCCCATGCAACACGTGTTGTATATTCCAACTGTTCTTGTGGTATGCGATAGGGTTTGGTGAAAAGCAAACCGAAATTTAATGTATTATTTTACGAAAATCCTGACCTTGGCCATTGGTCTTTCATGCTCTGCACGTTCATGAGACTCTAGCGCTGCAGTTGTGAGAAATCAAGACTACCAAAAACACGATATGAAATATAATCCATGTACCTTCTCTAAGGTGAATATATCCGGTGTTCATCCTAACAAGAAGTTATTGAGTCATTCTGACTGTCATCTGATAACCGGAGTTCCGGTCTGGAGAAAGTACATAGATACTTTTTGGGGGATTTCAAGGCAATGCATTATATGTCGTGGTTTTAACTAATCTTGATTTTTCACACAACTTGTGTGTACACAACTCGGAGTAGTAATAGAGTCTCACGTGGCATAGCCGTGCAGAGAAGATCAACGGCCAAGGTCAGGATATTCATTAAAAAATAAATAAAATTTTGGTTACACCACCAAAACACTTGGAATATAAGAAACGAGTTGCATGGGATCATTTTATGATACTTTTGCGTCTTTTAAAAAAAAGTTTGACGCTGGTCGCTATTCACTGCCAAATTCTCCTTTTGTGGTCCGAAAAAATAAATAAGGGCATACAGCATTAGAACAACACCAGGGTGAGTAAATGATAACTTAATTTTCCTTTTAGGGTGAACTATCTCTTTAAATACACACACTGATGTAACTCAAACAAAAGAAGGTTAACAAGGTTATAAATTGTTTTCAGTGCAAGATAACCCATGCACTGAATACAACTCTGTTGTTAAAACTTGGAGATGTCATTTTAGTACACATTTAACCCAGTGTTTTAGTACACATCAGTGCAGTGTTGTTATTGTTAACTAAAACTATGGATACATTTTTTATTAAAAACAAAGCTGAAATCAAACAGAAAATAAATATTAGAAAAAACGTAAACTTTAAGTTTTTGGCTGGGCAACTAACTGAAAAAAGTTTGAGCCGAAGTACTAAAATGAATAAAACTAGAATAAAATCATTTAAATTATTTAAAACAATAAAAACCTAAACTAAAATAAAAAATTAATATATAAAAATAAAACCTAATTTAAAATGTAATAAATACAAAATTAAAACTAATTTGACCCCAATGGTCAAATATTTAATAACTAAATATTTATAACTGAAATCTAAAAACCTTAACAGAAATGCAACTGATCCCAAAAGTGCCATATTCACACATTTTGAGTTCAAGTTAGTTTTTCTTCTGAAGGAACTCATGTCATCCCATGATGGCTAAAATACAGAGCTCTTTATTACAAATCTTTAGAGGTCAAAATAAAAGTCGTGCTCGATTTTTTTCACGTCACTCATTCATCGGTTGTTTTGATGCTGCAAAGGCGCAAGGAAATCAACAAACACACAACAGGCAAATTGGCATCAACAAATGCAGCATGTCATGACATTCCCTCCATACTAGATCCACACACATGCTTGATCTGAACACAGCTTAAAGCCGTTAGTAGAGAGCTTGTATGGTGTGCGTGAACCTAAGCGGACACTGGTCCTTACAGACATTATTAGGAGGAGGAAAGGCCATGTGACCACGAGAGCCTTTAAGCTCAAAGGTTGTGCAGGGCAAGCCTGAAGACTTCATTGGTGCAAACCCAGGCAGTGTTGATACTTTTCAACAGAAAGGTCTGGTGGAAGCCCAGCACCTGGTCATCGTCTGCCTGATAGACAAACACATACACTACAGCTCTGAAATACTTATGAAATCTTTGACTACGCACTACCATGTCACGTAAAGTGAGAGGGAAAATCAAGAGAGGCTGAAACCTTTCACGGCAGCTCTCGATTTAAATGCCACTGGGATTAAGGTGATGTTATGCATTTCACATGGGCAAGAATGCCCTTTTAGACCTTTATCACGTACATATTTGCCAAAACTGTTCACCTCAAGCGTTGCTGCAATAGCATAACTGTCAGAAACCAAAACTAATTTTAAAGAAAATGTACTTACTTTTAGTTGGCCTACTACCATACTCAATATGCAGCTATCAGGGGTGGGCTGGTGGTCCTGTGCTGTTATGCTGTGAGCTATTTTTGTGAAGGGCAGGCTCTGAAAAAGATAAAAACAAAAAATTATGTATATCATCAAAGTTTAAATGGAAAGATACCTTACTACTAGGGATGCACGATATATCAACCACATATCGATATCTGCCGATAAATGGTCATTTTTTT